CCCCCACATGCAAACACACACACACACACACACACACACAGTCAACATGTATCTTAAAAGAAAAAGACAACTTCACATTTATTATTCCTAATGATCTCTGCTTTATGACAAGTTAGTGATAAATATTGCGCCGTTACTACCGCCTACACCATTATTTATTTTTTTGATGCATAAGCAAAGAGCAACAGCAGGGTTTGCATTTTGTATCAGTTTGAGCAAACATGTCTACGTTGAAGGAAAAAAAAAAAAGCCTTGTAACTATTTTGCTTGGACAGAGTAACGATGGTGAAACTAATGTTGGCTGCTTAATGAGGCACAACGAGCCTGCAGTCTGATTCATGACATATATGCGGCTCACAGCTTGTTAGCCATAGTTTCACAACAGAATTATTTCAATAAGAGTCATGGGTAGCACCCATTTAAATTCAGTGCCATGACTTATGATGTTTTTTTTGTTTTTTTTTAAAGCGGATGCATTTCCAAATGGATAAATTTGCCTTTCTTGAAGACGAGGGATTGATGCAGGACGCTCCATACACCCAGAGAAACTGCCTGTCACTCCAGGACTTTTCATACTTCTCAACAAAGGAAGAAAAAAAATAAATTAACTATAGGAAAATTATACGTTCGCAATTATAAAATTTAAACTTTCTGAGGCTAGCAGATGCCTCTCCTTTACAGCAGCTCAATAAGGAAGCTGCAAACTTCCCTAAACGTCAGGCTTTGAACTTCGGGATATGTTACGCGGGTAAACATTTTTAGATTTCGGGTCGACTTCTGGTTTCTTGGTGTACCAACATTTTATAGCGTTGGTTTCAAAGCGACATCCGTCGTACCGTCCTCTACAGTGACAGCCCAGAAAGTTCCAGAAGAGCCAGAGACTTGTTCCAGATGTGGAGAAGAATATTTCTTCCTGCTCACGGCTGGTCAGCTGGCTGAAAGACGGCCACTACACTGCCCCATTACTTACAATAAAGGCAGATCTGGAATGACAAAGGATTAACCTTCTGGTGTAAAACATGGAAAGTCTTCAGAGACCAGGCTCAAGCAGATGGATGAACTAATTATGTGAGCTCACACCAGTTTATGTTGTACTATAAAAATCAGACAAGCAAGAAAGGATGTTATTCTGAGAAATAGGTACTTTTAAATATGTGTGATTAGTCTGTATTTTGGCTCAAAGCTATTATTCAAAATATAACCATCTGTGTTTTTAAATTACAACAATTATGTCAAATTATATGTATATATTTTTTAAATATTTTAACCTTTAGTTTACCAGGATGAAACCCAACCGAGATTAAAAACCTCTTTTTCAGGAGAGTCCAGCCAAGAGGCAGCACCAACGCCAACACACCACATAATAAATATATTAAAAAATCAAAAAATACTGGTGACCTGTCCAGGGCGTACCTCACATCTCGTCCGTTGACGGCTGGCGGTCACCCCTCCTGACCCCAACGGGATGAGGGCGTAAAGAAAACTGTTAATTTTACTTATGCTGGGAATCTCTCTCCACTCCATGACTACCTTCCTCTGGCTTTTACAATCAGGCGGGATGTCTTGCAATGAACTAGGAAAGAAACGGTTCTAGAAAAGCAGGTCGAGCAGAAACAATCATAGCCGCTATAATCAGCTAAAATTGCTTCACTTTGCTAAAGCAACCAACGTGAAGCCGACTGCAGCAGAGCCACTTCGGCTGTAGTTTAATTACATATTCTCTGGCAGGCTGCAATCCACACTGTTTAAGTAGTAAAGGAGAGGCATCTGCTGGCCTCAGGAAGTTTCAATTTTATAATTGCCATTTGTCTATTGTCTTCTTGAAGCCACAAACACACATGATGGGCAGTTCATGTGTCATGCCAGTCACTACCCAGCATTCCTTCTGAGACACACGAGCCGCCAAACAACTGGATTTATCGTACAGTACAATAAGATCGCTCGCAGCAAGGTCAACCACAGTGGGGTTATATTCACACTTTCTGAAAGTGTGAATATAAGGTTGAGCTAAGATTAGCAGTTAGCTGAATTATGTACATAGCTTGTTTTTTTTTTTTGTTGTTCTTTTTATTCAGAAATGCACTAAGTGTTTTGTGGCTCTTGGACAATCGTCCATTATTCTTTTGACTTCTCAGACGTTTTATAGAGGAGCTTCTGGCTGCAGATGGGTTATGAGATTCCAGCTAGTGTTGTTATTTTGTTACCTTTTTGTCATTTATCTTCATGAATTGAATACTTATGACCAGCATCAGTCCAATATTTAACCTGGAAATTCATTTATGGACTAATTTGCTTTGAATCATTCATGTAAATGGTAAATGGACTGAACTTAGATAGCGCTTTTCCAGTCATTTTGACCACTCAAAGCGTCCAGCATTGTCTCTACCCTGTGTATTACACAGGGTAGCATCAACTTTAATCGCATCACCGATCTCACCAGCGCGATACTTAAATCTAAATGTTTTTGGTGCAACTGCAAACATGTTCAACTTTTTTAGAGTTCCTTCAGCATGTTGTGTGGAAAAACTCAGACAGACAATCATGACTCTGTGAGGAATACGGCAGAAACGTGACAGTTTTTGGAATCGCACCCCGCAGGTGAAGCAGCCAGACCAAACGCCATGTGATAAAACATCTAAAACCAGCCGCTGCATCTGCGCTCGTCGTGCCAGAATCACTTAATCATCACGGCCATCATCACTGCTCCTCAAGAGCAGCGGCGGCAGTCCGGTTCGAGTTCCACACGGTGACTAAGCGAGGACAGCTGTACGTGGGACCGGACTGGGGGGGCATGAGTTTCCGTCTCTGTCAGTTTTGTACACTCAGTCAGATGACTGACTGCGGCAGCTTCTCCGTGCAGATAAACAAGGTTCGGCCTGCGGGCCGCAGCCGACTGTCTGGAACATTAAAGCGTCTTTGCTCTCTTAAAGGAGACGAGGTCCGCTCGTCCAAATCGGTGACGTTGAGCGGACCGCGGTGCTTTCTGGCTCTCGTCCTCACTCACAGCTGGACGTCTGCAGGAGGAATGTGGCAGCTGTTTACTCTGCGCACTTTTTTTTTGCTCAGGGATGTTTTTTGGGAGCCCGCGAAGGCTTGGGAGGAAATAAAAACCTCAAAGGTCCGATGATGTGTGTAGATATTGCTTTTGTTATTTCAAACCGGTGTTGCCTGTGATTTGTTACTCACCGGCTCGCCTATCAAAGTCTTACTGAGAGCCTGGGTGCCTCCAGGGGGCATGGACGCAATTCTCTGCAGTGGAGATTTACAGCCACATCATTCTACACTTGCACTCTGGAAATTCAAACTGTGGCCTCTTGATTTGGATCTGGAGGAAAAATAAAGAAAATATAAAACTCCTGTAGGGTTTTTGTTACCCTTACTCCATGCCAAAGAGAGCTGTTAACTCCCACAGTAAACAGTCCTTTTGTTTCTGCCTCCCACTGCACAATTACTGCTGAAGCTTTTGCACCCTTGCTGAACACCGTGACTGTGAAACGTCTCCTAATTGCAGCTCTACAATACACTCGCTAGTTTGGCACGTCACACACGAATGTGGAATGCATACGTGCTAACATCCATCCAGTGTTGGACTAGTCAAAACAGACCGGGGCGTTCTGAGAGCAGGAGATTTTAAAAGACAAGAAGCAAGAGGCCCAGTTCAAACCTGGCGTCAATTGACTGCACAAAGGTCAAGCAGAACACAAAGGTCAAGATTCAGTTTGTGCGTTTTCTCTCAAGTCGTGGATCGTTCGTTTTCGATTTACTTCAGTGAAGAGAAACAAATATACATATAGAGATAAACAAAAAAAAAAAAACAATCCAGAATAGAACGGACATTATGCAAATTGTAAGAGGTGACAGACACAAACTGACTGGATGGACGGACAAACGGAGGACAGAAAAAAGAAGACATCTGAAAATTGACTTATTTTTTTTTAGATTGCTTGAATGCTGCAAGGCAGCCGGATTTGGACTTGAGCTGACTTTTCTCCAGCATTACTTACGCTTTTATTCAGTTTAGAGCAAAGTGAGCTAAATATCAAATGACTGTCAAAGAGATTTGCTAACAAAGCGGATTCAATCAGCTGGGAACAACAAGAGAAATACCTGACACAGAAAAGGAACATACCGATACACGGTGGTGAATAAACCACTGTCGGCTGAGAGAATGTCCTTTCTACTTATTTTTTTTTTCCAATAAGCAAAACTATTTCATCAGATGCAAAACATCTTTTGGAGGAATCCAGATAACTGTCTGAGCTCTTTAAAAGCGCCGACCAGCAGCGGTTCATTTATTTATTTTTTCACTCTTCTTAGGCAAAACCCAGAAAATGCCACTGTTTGAAAGGATGTTGAAATCCAGCTCAACTTGGGCTTTGACTGGGCCACTGCAAAACGCATACATCTGCTTTAATCTAAACAATTTTCCCTTGGGGTCTTTGTCCCGCTGAGAGTTGAACCTCTGACCTAATCTAAAGTGCCTTGTCCCCATTTGACAGGTTTTGCACCCACACATGACACTGCCACCACCATGTTTCACCTTGGGAATTGTGTTTTTTTTTTTTTCAGGGAATAACCTGCATAGATATCGTCTGTACGTACTAAATAGTTTATTTCTGGAGGTATCTGGTTGCATTGTGTTTTTTTTTTAAAGGTGTCAGAGTAAACTCAAATTTGCAAATTTGAATTTGTAAATTCAAATTGAAGTTTGCATTTACAAAACTGTCAAACCAGATTATTTTTACCAGCAAATATATATACATATATGAAAAAAAACATGAAACAGTAGGGATAAAACGCCAATGCTACTCGACACAAGAAAAGCTCCACATAGTACCACACCTTGGGCAAATCCAAACAAAACCTCTGCGGCGACACACAGGTGGAGTTCCAGCAGCACGTAATGCAACTTCAACCTGCTTGCCAAGAACAAGAAGAGACGCAGAGAGGGCGGGAAGTGAGCAAGAAGAGGAAGCGTGAGAGCACGGAAGTGAACTAACCTCAGTTTGCCACCTGTAAGCGGCAGATGTATCATGTGGACGCGGTGCACTCGGCGAGCAGGGGGAAAACAAACATCTCTCGGCACAGAAAGCTGAGAACGGGGAGGCAAAAGGGTTTCAACACGACCGCGCGGCGGACTGAGGAATGCCGAGCGAGGCATGTGATTGTGTAAGCACACACCTCTCGACATTCTTCCCGCCGGCTGAGGCAAATTCTGTGAAACTTAATGGAGCGCGTGCCAACGGCCTTCCCCGCTCCGCTCAGGTACCTGGGGGCAAACTATGACGCTCTGCCCCCAACTATGTGGAAATAAGTCACGGCGAACGTGTTCAATCATTAAACCCCCCTTAAGACGAACGAGAGATCTATCTGGGAAAGAAATGGAAAGTGGGTTCAGTTTTCAGCTTGGCTCCAGTAAATCTGAGCTCAACCAAAAGCAGCCAGTCATGTGTGAGTGCATTATTTAAAGCACATGGAAAGCAACCGCAATAAGCAAATAGGAAACAGCTATTGCCGCCGCTGTTGTTTATCATATTGAAATCTCAAATGTGATTTCCAGGCTTCGCTGCAAGAGACTCGGATGATTTGTCCGCTGTCGGCGTCCATCGCAAGACCGAATTTTAGGTGAATCAAAAGAGCCAGTGTTCGTTCCACTGGTGAGTCTTTTGTGTATTGTTTTGTCTAAGTGTTTTTAAAAGGTTAGCTTCCCACGGGCTTCACGTCGAACGGACAAGCCGCTTGGGGCAAACAATACGCAACAACAGCAACAATGGGTTAGCGACTTTCTAGAAAAGCAGAAAAGCTGAAGTAGCAATCCACCGATTGGATTGGAACAGATCGGATCGGACTCAGTTTATCCCTTCATCGGCTCAGACTGGAGAGCGGCTGATGAAAACACTGAAAAATTGGATCTTATTTTTTGTGTGTGGGTAATTCATCATAAGCTTTAAAATGATCAACTACTTTGATTTCCCATCTACAAGCACAACAATGAACAGAATTTAGAACTTAGAATTTTACATAGATAGATAATCAGTTTATAATCACCTGCTTGATAAATACCCCACACGAATCCATTCATAATACTTATAAAAATAATACATGCTTGTAAAACACACTCATAAAACACAGAATACATACAATCGTGTCAATATTTCTTGAATTGACTGATGTCCCACCGATTCTAGCAGGACGTTTCTGTGCGTACTCAAATGTACACACACACAAATGGGTTGCAATTCTTGAAGAAACGTTATGAATTTCAATGCTTTAAGAGACGAATGCATGGCAGGTTTAAGAAAACAGTATTTAAGAACAAAAGCTGAAGCACAAACAGACTGGAAGCAGACATTTTTTTTTGTGCTCGATCGACTCCAATCTGGCAGTCAGCAGGTCAAACTGAGAAAACATGTTTTTTTTTTTCCCTTTTTTCCAGCACATGTGAAATCAGTCTATTTGCTGAATCTGAACCCTCAAACATCTCAAGTGATTTTAAACACTGTCGACGCATGTGTTTAACATCGATCAGACGTAAGTTAACTTGAAGTAGAAGTACCACATTCTTCTGTGTATGAATCTGGATTATGTTACAATTAGAATGGTGATACCTGGAAGGAATACAGAAATTGGCATCAGTCGGGATCGGCCTGCTCAGAACATTGCGAGCTCAAATGAAATTGCATATCATTCTGATTATAAATAGGAACAGTCAAAGAGTAATCCATTAGGGACGGCTTTTGAAAATAAAACTTGACACTATTGTTTTGGGAAGGCCAACAGCACATGACCAAAAATGTGGCCACCATTGGTTAGAACCAAAACCAGAAACAACCGCCTGAAACACCAGCACCAGAGTCCGTTTTAAATATTTCAAATTTAGACGTTGTGAAACTTGACAGTATTATTTCATGGCTCATGCTGCAAAATTAATACGCTGCGTGACTCGACCCGTAGTAGCAAAAACATCGGCACAAGTAATGCTCAAACAAACCGCATTACATTTCATATTACTTGTATTACTATGGCTGATCACTCGCTTCAGCTTTACACACATTTCCGGTAGCAACGAGTCAGAGTCATCCAACAAAATAAGGAAAACCAAGGAATGTAGTCGAACTTCGACGGTTTAAGGCAAGCCGAATTGAAGAACTGTATAATCCATTCTCAACAGTGACTTAGTTCGGCCAAACACATTGAAGCTCAACGGCAGAGCTTGCACTGTCGCGAAATTGTGCGATTTGTTAAGGAGGTTCGGAGCGGAAGTTAAAACCGGGAGGGCTACACGGGCACATGACAGACGGAGCGCAGTGACAGTTCTCTGAAATGCTTAGAGACACTTTACACCGAGCTTGTTACGATTTGGAAAAACAAACACATTAGCACATAACGAAAATAAATAAATAAAAATAAAACAAAAAAAAAATCCAATTTCGCCTCAGGCTTTCCAACGTCTTTTTACGCTATACGTAAACAAGTCGACGTGGATAACATGTTTACTATGGTGACGGCACGTAACCTCCAGCCGTAAAGATGTAAACCCGCAGCCGAACATCCCCGTGGCGAGCCTGCGTGTTTGTCCACGACAGTGAATGTTATCAGTTTGTGTGCAACATACCGTTCTCCGGTCAGTCTGTGCTAAATGCATCCACAGCTGAGTGTCGCACTGGAGGTGAACCAAACTGTGTCTTCTTTCAGCAGAGGTTCACAGTGGAGTTATTATTATTGTTATATATATGGATATATATATTTTTCCCTTTCACAGCATCGTTTCTGAAGAGCGCCTTCCTCCCCCCCTTTTCCTCTCTGATCTCTGCAGCATTCAGCCCACCACCATCCACCTCCACCCCCTCCCCAAAAAGGAAAAAAAAAAAGTGTCTCCGTTAGTTAAAAAGCAGAAAAGACAAACAGCGTCTCCGTGCTTCCTGATCCGAGGTGAAGCGGCGACGATGATGTTTTTTTTTTTTTTTTGGCGAGGGGTGGGGCGGAATGCAGCGTCGAGTCCGCCGAGAAACGAAGCGCTGTGTTTGTTTTGTTTTGTTTTTCTTTCCCAAAAGCGCGTCGGCGCACGTCTGTGCAGGACTGGCAGTGACTGCAGTCAGGGTTGCGTGTGCTTTTTTTTCCCTTCTTCTTCTTCAACAGGATTTTACATACAAACGGCGCAATCAGCAGCATAGCTTGTGCAGTCACTACACCAAGAAGTGTCAGAAGTTGCGCAATACTTCCAACTCAGCAAGAGAGCTGCCAGTGCGCAGCGTCAGGTTAGATCGGGGGGGTCAGATTGTTCTCAAACAGGCAGACGTGCGTTTTCTTGTATCGTGCTACACACTGGCTTGCAGTATTTTCCAGTATTCGTTTTTTTTTGTTCTTTTTTTTTTTTTACATATAATTTGCGTCAGTTTAATTATAAATTCACAGACTGCAGGTTTTATCACGATGACGCATGCATTTTATCTGGCATACTGTGTAACAGTCTTGACAATCGTTGCAGTTGGTAGAGGGTGGTCTTCTTTTTCTTCGTCTCTTTCTTTTGCAAATGAAAATCTGATAAGTGCGGCGCGCATTTGTGTTCAGCCCCGCTGGTAAAAAAAAAAGGGGCAGTGATATGTAAAATTAACTTTTATTTTATTTATTTATTTATTAGTCATGTCACGATGTTATTCCTTCCTCAAAGACATACCTGGATTGTTGCCTTAATTCTTTCATGCGTGGTTGAGAAATCCTTCAATCTCCATAATAACCGTTCACCTGGGTGGTGAATGGATGTGCCGTTGCTTCACCTTCGAGGCGCAGCTCCTCCTCTGAATTGCAGTTTCCAAGCTTTTGAGCTTCCGCCTCACAGAGCAGCCCTCCCCAGCGATCGCTCCCACCTCCCCCACTCAGCTCCTTCAGACTAGCCAGAAGCAATTAGCAAACACCTGGTGAAACTGCTCCCTATATGAGCTACTTCTTCGTGCAATTCTGGTAAAAATGTTGCCAAAGGGTTGACAGCGGAGCCATGTTGTGACGACCACCTGGAGGCGGCGTTATGGAAAGAGCAGAGGTTTTTAAAGAGACAGAGTCCCAATTTCAAGGCTTTAAATGACAGTTAGATTTTGTAATCCACATTTAAAAACAACTGAAACGTAATTACTTTATTGTGCTTTATTGTGGCAAATGCATAATACTCTTAGCATTATGTACAACTATCTTTTGGAAGACATGTCTACCAGCTTTGCAGATTAAGAAGCAAAAATTTGTTTTTTGCCAATAATTTTTTGCAAAACAGGACAAGCTCAACCAGAGCATCTGTGGACAGAAATATCAAACCATGCCTCAAATTACCAATTGGATTTGGGTTTGGACTTTAAATAGGTCATGCCAGCACATGGATACTTGATCTCAACCCTCCCATAGTAGCTGTGTGTGTTCAGTGAGGTTTGTTTCCTTGCTGAAGGGGGAACATCCACCCTGGTTTTAAGCTTCCGACAGATTTCCTTCCCTGAAGAAACATCATCATTATGCTGCCACCACCATCTGGTCAGTTCAGATCGAAACTCATATTTATAACCTTCAAAACAATCGGCGTGGCAGAAAGCCTACGCCGTGTCGTCGCCCCTGAACGCACCATCCCAGCCCCTCCGAGACGTTTCTCCTCAGCTGACACTGACCTCCCGTAAAGGTTGACCAAACAGGCGTGTTTTCTCTGTATTTTTATTCTGTTTTGTTTCGTTTTCTTGATTTTACGCAGTGCTCACGGGAGTTTAGAGAAGTGGCTTTGAAATGTTCACAACATTTAGTGAAAATTGCCTTTTTTTCTCTTTTTTTTAACAACAGAATAGCAAAACTTGCCCTACAATATGAACCCAACCTTCCACAGACAACAAGCATGGCTAAGGAGCAAGAAACTGGATGTTAATTAGTATGAGATTAAGCTTTCATACCTTTTCCTACTTTTATGTGTTTTTTTTTTTTTTTGATAATATAGACAGGATTTATCTTAAAAGGTTTTTTCTGGTTATGTGGTTTTCAAACTATTTATGTTGCAATTGGAACATCATTGTTGAAATAAAGCCCCAAAACGGCACATTCAGGTCAAACAGGACAAGAGTCACTTTTTTGGCCTACCTGCAGAATGCTATGTGCGGTGGAAGACCGATAATGCAAATCACCTATATGTCAACTGTGGGAGCGGCGCAAAGCATTGGGGACGATTTTCTTCCACCAGAAACGGTGATATGATGAGCAATCCTGGAAGAGAGGCCAGAGTTTCACTTTGGAGCAAATTAAAAACCTCTAAACCTGGTGGTCAGAGCTAAAACACAATCATCTATTCATAAATGAACATGGTCCAGTCAAAGTCAGGCAAAGGTTTTTATTTTCTTGATTTTTTTTTAAAACAGTTTTGGCTTAATGACGTTTCTCTTCTGGATGACCTTCATTTCTAAAAATATTTTGAGGCGCCACCCGTTTCCACTGAAACCTTTTGTAGTGTGTGGCAGCAGGAAAGAGGCAGCTGCAGATAATTTGTGTTAATGACAGATGATTAACGATTAGATGCTCCACTTTCTGGAGCTGCTCAGCGAGGTGTTGTGGATGTGATGGGGGAGATCTCGACTTTTCACCCGTCAAAACTAGGAACATTTTTGCCTAAATACGCTATCATATTAATTTCCTCTCCTTCTGAAGATAAAGTCTGCAGTCTAGTCATAGTTG